TCTCTCTCCGTCCCTCTCCATCTCTCTCCGTCCCTCTCCATCTCTCTTCTCTCCGTCCCCCTCTCTCCGTCTCTCTCCTCATCTCCCCATCTCTCTCTGCCTCCTCTCAACTGATATCTGAGATGTGGGCTTCATCTTAAGAGGAAAGGTTGGACTGATTGGACCTCATTCTGTTGGAATGGAGGGGTGATCGTATTACAACATATAAGATTTTGAGGTCACTAGACAGGATGGATGCTGAAAGGTTATTTCTGTTTGTGGAAGACTGGAACTATGGGACAGAGCACAAAAATAAGTGATCTCTCATTTAAGACAGGAGTCATACAGCACAGAAACAGACCCTTCGATCCAACCAGTCTGTGCCGAACATAATCCCAAACTAAACTTGTCCCACCTGCCTGCTCCTGGCCCATGTCTCTCCAAACCTTTCCCTATTCGTGTACTTATCCAAATGTCTTTTAAATATTGTAACTGTACCCACATCCACCACTTCCTCTGGAAGTTCATTCCACACGTGAACCACCCTCTGCATTTAAAAAAAAAATGCCCCTCGTGTCTTTTTAAATCTCTGTCCTCTCACCTTAAAAATATGTCCCCTCGTTTTGAAATTCCAAAAGACACCTGCCATTCACCTTATCTATACCCCTAATGATTTTATAAACCTCTATAAGGTTGCCTCTCAACCTCCTACGCTCCAGGGAAAGAAGACCCAGCCTTTCCAGCCTCTCTTTGTATCTCAAACATTCCATACCCAGCAATATTGTGGTAAATCTCTTCAGAACCCTCTCCAGTTTAATAACAGCCATCCTCTAGCAGGGCGACCAGAACTGGACACAGTAATCCAGAAGAAGCCTCACCGACATTCTGTACAACCTCAACAAGATGTCCCAACTCCTATACTCAAAGGTCTGAGCAATGTATAACAGATTCTCTTTCTCCTTAATCAACTGGCTAGACGCCGATGATTTCGTCATCCCAGAGAAGACGGGGAATCTCAGGCGTCAAATGATCCGTACCAAGAGCAAAAGGCGTTTTGCTTTCCGAGTCTCCGAGGAAGAACGATTCCAGCAGTTAAGGTGAGGAGATGATGGGGTGGGGGGAGCGCTGGGAGCTGATCACTGGGCTGTAAATGGGATCCCAGGTGCAATAACAAGGGCCTGGAGGCGAGGCTCCAAGGCTGAGAGATTGTGAGCTCGGTGGACAACAGCCTAGAGACCGAAGCATTGATCGCAAAGGAGCGTTAAGCTGTCAGCGGTATCACCAATGGCTGTGAAATGTCAAACCAGAAAACGCCACCTGCCCGGCTGCCCCCTCGTGTGGAGGCAATCCCGCTGATGCTATTTAAAACGTCAGGGTTTTGTAGCGTCCGCTGCTTCCGGTCATTTATATAAATGATTTGGATGTGAGCATAGGAGGTATGGTTAGTAAATTTGCAGATGACACCGAAATTGGTGGTGTAGTGGACAGTGAAGAATGATATCTCGGGATCTTGATCAGATTTAGATAAATGTGAGGCACTGCATTTTGGAAAGGCAAATCAGGGCAGGACTTTATACACTTAATGGTAAGGTCCTGGGGAGTGTTGCCAAACAGAGACCTTGGGGTGTGGGTCAATAGTTCCTTGAAAGTGGAGGCCCATGTCGATAGAACATAAGAACCAAGAACAGGAGTAGGGCCATTCGGCCCTTCAAGCTCGTTCCGCTATTCGGTAAGATCATGGCTGATCTCTTTGTGGCCTCAGTTCCACTTACTCACCCTCTCGCCATAACCCTTAATTCCCTTACTGTTCAAAAAATTATCTATCTTAACTTTAAAAACATTCAAAGAGGCAGCCTCACTGGGCAGGGAATTCCACAGATTCACAACCCTTTGAGTGAAGAAGTTCCTCCTCATTTCAGTCCTAAATCTGTTCCCCCTTATTTTGAGGCTATGCCCCCTAGTTCTTATTTGACCTGCCCAGTGGGAACAACCCCCCTGCTTCTATCTTATCTGTTCCCTTCATAATTTTATATGTTTCTATAAGATCCCCCCTCATTCTTCTAAATTCCAATGAATATAATCCCAGTCCACTCAGTTTCTCCTCATAAGCCAACCCTCTCAACTCCAGAAACAACCTAGTGAACCTTCTCTGCACCCCTCTCCAATGCCAGTCCATCCTTTCTCAGTAAGGAGACCAAAACTGTACACAGTGCTCCAGGCCTCACCAGCTCCCTATACAGCTGCAGCATAACCTCCCTGTTATTAAACTCCATCCCTCTGGCAATGAAGGACAATATTCCATTTGCCTTCTTAATTACCTGTTATAGGATAGTGAAGAAGGCATTTGGTATGCTTGCCTTTATTGGTCAGTGCGTTAAGTATAGGAGTTGGGTGGTCATGTTACAGGACATTGGTTAGGCCACTTTTGGAACACTCTGCCACCTCATTCCATGCACACGCCACCCTCTGTGTGAAAAAAATTGCCCCTTAGGTCCCTTCTGAATCTTTCCCCTCTCACCTTAAACCTATGCCCTCCAGTTTTGGGCTCCTCTACCCTGGGGAAAAGACTATTCACCCTATCCATGTCCTTCATGATTTTATAAACCTCTATAAGGTCACCCCTCAGCTCCAGGGAAAATAGCCCCAGTCTATTCAGCTTCTCCCTACAGCTCAAACCCTCCAACCTTGGCAACGTCCTTGTAAATCTTTTCTGAACCCTTTCAAGATTCACAACATCTTTTCTACAGCAGGGAGATTAGAATTGAATGCAAATTCCAAAAGTAGCCAAACCAATGTGCTGTACAGCCACAACATGACATCCCAACTCGTACACAAGATACTGAGGTGTCCTTGTGTCTGACACCCTGACTCTGGTCAATAGTCACAATTAGATTCACAACAACAGGAATTTGTTTATTACTCTGCTATTTGGATTGAACTAATTCTTGGCAACAGTGAGCATGTTTCTCTCTTTTTTTTCTCTCTCTCTCTCTCTCATTACTTATTGCAGTTAGAGTTTTTTTTAAAAATAAATAACAGATAATTGATGAGCATTATCTGGAATTGTAAGGGTAACCATGAAACTATCATTGATTGATTGTCGTAAAATACCATCTAATTTTGGGAAAGTAATCTGCCATTCCTTACGTGTTCTGGCCTACCCTGTGTCTCGAAACCCACAACAGTGTGGGTGATTCCTACCTGCTTTCTGAAAGGCCAGGCAAGAAGACATTTTTATTTTTACTCATTCACAAGATGAGGGTGTCACTGGCTAGGCCTAACATTTACTGCCCATCCCTAATTGCCCAGAGGGAATTTAAGAGTCAACCACGTTGCTGTGTATCAGGAGTCACATGTAGGTCAGACCAGGTAAGGATGGCAGTTTCCTTCCTGAAAGGACATGAGTGAACCAATGGATTTTTCCGACAATCAATTCCAGATTTTTTTTTTTATTGAATTCAAATTCCAATATCTGCCGTGGCGGGATTTGAACCCTGGTCCCCACAACATTATCTGGATCCCTGGATTAACAGTCCTGCAATCCACAATAAAGCAGCCCCTGCTTGATTAGCACAAGCATCTACTCCTTCCACCAGCGACGCTCAGTCGCAGCAGTGTGTACCATCTTACAAGATGCACTGCAGAAATTCACCAAAGATTCTCAGACAGCACCTTCCAAATCCACAACCACTTCCATCTAGAAGGACAAGGGCAGCAGATACAGGGGAACACCACCCCCTGCAAGTTCCCCTCCGAGCTACTCACCATCTCGACTTGGAAATCTATTGCCGTTCCTTCACCATTTGAGGTCAAAATCCTGGAATTCCCTCCCTGAGGGCATTGTGGATCAATCCACAGCACATGGACTGCAGTGGTTCAAGAAGGCAGCTCACCCTCACCTTCTCAAGGGGAGACTAGGGACGGGACAATAATCGCTGGACCCAGCCAGCAACACCCACGTCCCACAAAATGAATTTTAAAAAAAGCAAGTTCCCTCACGGGAGAATATTTTTAAAAATTGCTAGCTTCTGCCCTCATGTCTTAGGGAGTCAGGGCTAAAGCACCATGATATTTGACACCCGGCCTGGTCCTGTCAATAACTCGATCCGTTTGTTATTTCCTGTTCTGCAGGGAGATGCTGAAAGACCCCCAGAGGAGGTCCAAGTTAATCTCGAATCCAACCAACTTCAACCACGTGGTGCATGTGGGCCCTCCGCAAGACATGCATAATCTCCGGGATCTGCCCAGGGTCAGTGTCCCTGTCCGGGAAGGGGAGGGAGACTGGGTGAGCGGGAACCAAGGGCAGGTGGTGAGCCGACTTCAAGAATAGCTCCTTCCTAGGGGGAGTAACAAGTCAAAAAAGGAGACAGAATCATCTGCGCAGCCCTCGATAAAATGAGGGTAGGGTGATACAGGATTTCAGCACAACAAATGCGTTTATGTACCAGAGTTTACATCATAAAGTGTTCTTCAGTCAGTCAGTCCAGGGGACCAAATTTGATCGTAAGCCACGCAAAGGGGATATTAGGAAGAGATGTCTGAATGCCTGCTGAGAAGTCAGGTTCAGGAGCCTCTAAAAGGAGGTTAGAGTGAGATGACAAGAGGAAATTCGAGAGCTTAGGGCTCCATTGATGGAGGGATGAAAATCGGGAATGTCAGAGTCTTCAGAATTGGAGCACAGAGACTTTAGTGCAGTGTAGGGGCTGGAAGAGGTTATAGAGGTAGGGAGGGGGTGTAGGGGATGGAAGAGGTTACAGAGATAGGGAGGGGGTGTAGGGGCTGGAGGGGGTGACAGAGATAGGGAGGGGGTGTAGGGCCCGGAGGAGGAGACAGAGATAGGGAGGGGGTGTAGGGGATGGAGGAGGTTACAGATAGGGAGGGGAGTAGGGGATGGAGGAGGTTACAGAGAAAAGGAGGGCGTTACAGAGATAGGGTGGGGTCTCAGGGCTGGATGTGGTTGCAAAGATAGGGAGGGGTGTAGGGGCAGCAGGAGGTTATAGATAGGGAGGGGGTGTAAGGGCTGGAGGAAGTTACAGAGATAGGGAGGGGTGCGGGGGCTGGAGGAGGTTACAGAGATAGGGAGGGGTGCGGGGGCTGGAGGAGGTCAGTAAGATAGGGAAGGATGTAGAGGCTGCAGGAAGTTCGAGATGGTAAGAGCTGAGAGGAGGATGAAACCTTGGAGGAATTTCAATTGGAGGATAAGGATTTAAGATCGATTGTAGCCAGCAGAGGACCTAATGTCAACCTGCAATTGGTGCAAGTTGGGGAGAGTTTAGAATTCTGTGATGTGCCATTGCTGCCATTGGTTGACTGATATGTAAAGCATCATGACAAGGAGCCTAGGTGCAGCCAATTGAGAGAACATAAAAATCTTCACTACCTGATTGGATAATGCCCAACCACAGACAAACAACACTATTTAAAATAAACTAAAAATAACCCAGTGAGAGTCTCTGTGTGCGTGCGCGCATGCACGCCCCTATCCCAGTGAGTGTGTGCGTGCGTGCGCGCATGCGCATGCACGCCCCTATCCCAGTGTGTGTGTGTGTGTGTGTGTGTGTGTGTGTGTGTGTGTGTGTGTGCGCGCATGCGCATGCACGCCCCTATCCCAGTGAGTGAGTGTGTCTGCGCACGCACGCCCCTATCCCAGTGAGTGAGTGTGTGTGTGTGTGTGTCTGCGCACGCACGCCCCATCCCAGTGAGTGAGTGTGTGTGTGTGTCTGCACACGCACGCCCCTATCCCAGTGAGTGTGTGTGTGTGTGTGTGTGCGCGTGCATGTGCATGCACACCCCATCCCAGTGAGTGTTTGTGTGTGTGTCTGCGCACGCACGCCCCTATCCCAGTGAGTGTGTCTCTGTGTGTGCGCGCGTGCTGTACCCCAGTGAGAGCAATGTTCATGGGATAAACTGCATTAACTGACCTCTACCCTCCTCTAATAATCATATTGTTCCTCTCTGCAGTCAAAAGATTCACCAGAAGAAAGAAATCAAATGTCTTCCATCCTTCCCACATTCCGACACCGTAGCAACACGGCATCAGGGTTCCTGAGCGATAAAAAGTCTTCCAGAGATCCAGCACCTGGTAAAGCCGGACACTGATCATTAGGGTCTCATTTGGAGACATTAGGATAGTGGTTGAGGGGCTCTTAATGTAAACCCTGTGCTGGGAGTGTTTGAAGGGGACCGTGCGGAGGGAGATTTACTCTGTATCTGTACTGTCCTGGGATGTTTGCTCGTTGACACTGAGTGTGTGAAATAACTGGACCTTTCATTCCCAACAATAATATCCATCATCCAGTGAATAGGTAGATTAATTAAGTTGATTCCTGTCAAAATGCCTGTGTGAAATATGTATGTTGTATGCAGCCTGGCAAGTGCTGTATTAGCATTGTCTGTGCTGTGATAGATGTTCTCTGCATTGTGTTTGTGTTGCTTTCAATGTGTATGATGTGTTGTGTTGATACCACATTGTGTCACCTGCACCTCATGGTGTGTAGATATTGTTCTGGACCAGATCAGACCCACTCAAAATATTTTAAGAAGGTAGCCTAGATCCTAGCTTTCTCTTATTGTAAAGGCAAATGAAAAGTGCCTGTTCCAGACGCAATGTGACTGGTCAAACTACTCGATGTTAAGCGAGACACAACTTATTTAAACACTGTAGTTAAAAATGCAACAAAAGTAACAGGAATTTAGAAAACTTAACAGAATGATAGATACAGTAACTAATACTAATTAACTGTTCCAATATAGCAACATCACATAAACACACCTCTCTTGGCAAAAAAAAAGGAAAATTCAGACACAGTTTCTCACATGCGGTTCTCCAACCCAGGAGGGAAAACAACATCAAGAGAAAATTCGGAGAGAGTAGCAGTCAGGAGACATTCACTGAAACTTCCAACTCTATTGAGACCCCAATAGCTTCTGATTCTACCCGGGAATCCTGATCTGTGAGAGCTGGCCACACCTATTCAGGCCTCCCAAGATGTTTACTCGGGTGGTATTCAGTAGCCAGCTTGGCGCCTCTGCCTTCAAAAAAAACAACAGGACAAAATAACCTCTTAAAATGTGTTGTGTGGGCACTCCGTGTTGTGTTGTGTGGGCACTCCGTGTTGTGTTGTGTGGGCACAGCCAGAGAGACGGGACTAAACTAGAATCTCTCCACAGGTTCTTCCAGCAGTCAGCTGCCACGGAAACAGATCTCTCCGGACTCGGCCTCGCTGGCGGTAAGGTGTCTCACTTTACAACAGAGTTTTGGTCGGGGGGTTGGGGGGTATTGGTCCTTCACCATGTGGAACATTCCCACCAGGTGGCTGTAGGGCAGGGTTCAAATCCTGCGGCTGGAGCTTTGAGAGGGTTTGGAGGGGGGCGGGGGGGGGGGGGAGAAGGTGGGGGGTAGTTGCGGGCTGCTACCAGGGAAATTATGGGCTGGAAGGGGGCAGGAAGTCCCATGGGAAATCGGGGCAGCTCTTACACCCAAACAGGTGTGGAGCTGTGATGGGACCAGTTTGAAGAGTCAGTTGGGTTGAAGGATATTTTTTCAAAGATTGGACTCCATCCCCCATTTTTTCAGTCTCCGTCCCCCATTGTTCTGTCTCTTCTCACAGTTGCTGTCTCTCCCCCCTTTCTCTCTGTCCCCCCTCAATTCCTCTATCCCTAATCCTTTCTCTCTCAGTGCCTGATGAGCTCTCACTCTTCCTTTCTCCACGCTCCCCATCCTCCCTGTCTATCTGTCTCTTTCTGTTGCCCCCCCACCCCTGGGCGTCACTTTTCTCTCACTCTCCCATTCTCTGTGTCCATACTTCTGCACTCTCCCTGACCCCAACTTGCTCTGTGTTTTCTTGTCTCTCTCCTTCCAACTTCACTCTATCTCTCTCTTTCTCTGCGTCCATCCACCTGTCTGTTCCCTGGTCCTACCTATCTCTCTGTAGCAGTCCGTCTCTGCTCCCAAATTCAATCTCACTCCGTCTCCTCTCCCTCTGTATCGATACCTGTTTTCTGTCTGTCTCTCTGTGTTTTCTCTTTAGAACGACAAAGGATGAGAGGTGACTTGATAGAGGTGTACAAAATGATCAGAGTTATGGATAGAGTGGACAGCCAGAGACTTTTTCCTAGGGTGGAGGTAGCTAATACGAGGGGGCATAGTTTTAAAGTGAGTGGATGTAGATATCGGGGAGACGTCAGAGGTAGGTTCTTTACTCAGAGTGGTAGGGGTGTGGAATGCATTGCCGGAGAGGGTAGTGGAGTCGGCCTCATTAGGGGTATTTAAGCAGCTATTAGATAGGCATATGGATGGAAGTATAAGGTAGGGGTGATGGTTAGTTAGACCTTTTAGGGTAAAAGTTCGGCACAACATCGTGGACCGAAGGGCCTATACTGTGCTGTACTGTTCTATGTTCTATGTTTCTGTTCGCTCACCCTCTCTGACAGTTTTCTAAAGAGAATTCTCTTCTCTACAGGATTTTAATCCCACTCGTCTCTGAGGCCTCCCAGCAACCACCTCCCCTGAGGTGTGGAAACAAGACCACCTAACTCACTCTGAACAATTAGCGCAGAGACCTTCCCAGTTTTTCCCCCGATTCTGAGAGAACCATTGGCGAGGGTCAACAGGACGACACCTCTGCATCCTGAATGTCAACTGAATGGTAGTTTCCGGAACATTCCATCCACCCTTGGCACAGACTCAAGGAACGGTTGCTTCTCTCCCCTTGACGTTTAAAGCCCTTGAGGACTGGCTCCTCCTCAGCTCCCACTGATGCTGCCACCTCAAACTGTGAGGCTGTGTTTGTGGGCAGCAATATGCCAGGCTTATCTGGGCCAAAGGCCCTGTCGCCCAATGGCCCCTATGTTACGGGTGAGGATGGTGGTGGGAGGGGGAGGTGGGGGGTGGATTGATCTTAACCTCAGTAAAGGATGGTTCGGTGGTCCATCTCTGCAATCCCCACATGTGCCAGGACTGCAGCCAGGAAAGGCATGTCCTTCTCTCTCTCTCTCTCTCTCTCTCACTGCTGTTTTGAAAGTCCCGTGCTTCCTACAAGGTCTGTCAGCCATTAGGTTAAGTGCAGAGCCGCTGTCAAACCAAGCGTGCATCCCTCAGTTAACCAGTTATTGCAATAACTGGGCGTGCATTCCACCCTCTGTCTAGGCAGATAATTCCTACCTCTGTGAAAACGGTGGAGCAGTCAACTGCTGCAAAATGGGGGTCGGAGGAAGAAAGCAAAGATGAGGGGAGACCTGATTACCTGTAAACGCCCACACCCAGATTCTGCACCCCCCCCCCCCACCTTTCAGTTACAGGGGACGAAAGGACACAACACTTCATTTGGACCCCAGACATGAGATGTGCTTGTGCAGGATGCCAGCATTTCCTGCAGCCCTTGAAATGCCCGCAGCAGGTTTGCAGGAATGGGGGCCATCTCTGTCCACACAGGGTAAGGTTGGGAGTGGGTTTAGAGAATGTCCATTCACACCACATGCCTGTCAGTGCAACACCAGCAGCTAATGCTGTCTTAAAGCTGAGTTTATTCCCCGTCCAAAATCCTCCTTTCAAGAATCCCCCTACCACCTCCCAACCAATCGCTGTGTAAATCTTGCTCGTTTGTGGACATAATTAACTGCTTCTAGGATTGTTTAATACAAGTACTTGTACAGCAACGAAAGGACTCTCAGCTTTGTTTTATTTCTCCAGAACGATTAACTAAGTAGAAGGAACCCCTCAGCAAGCTGCCTGAGAAATGTTTTATCCTGTGCTGTGCTGAAAGAATGCTGCAGGAGGTGACAGAGGGTTGTGGAACTGAAGGGACATAGAATGAGGGTAACTGGCAAAAGCACCAGGGTGGGTGGGGGCATGGGGAGGTAGGGGGGAGGATGAGATTTTTAAAAATGCTACAAGTTATTGTGATCTAGAATTCCATGATGGTGGGTAGACAGGTGTCCCTGAGGCTGGACAGTCCACCGGGTTAGTGGGGGGGGGACTTGCTTTGTACCCCTGTCGTGGAGGAAAATCCTAAAAACTTGCAAGATATAATGGACTATCTAGGAATTAGCATTAATGAGGACAGATCAATGTATTAACATAATTAAATAAAATAGTACGAGAAAAATTAATGGGCTTAACATAGATAAAATCCGTTTGGACTGACATCTTGGTCGTAGAGTCATACAGCACGGAAATAGACCCTTCGGTCCAACCAGTCTAAGCTGACCATAATCCCAAACTAAACTAGACCCTCCTGCCTGCTCCTGGCCAATATCCCTCCAAACCTTTCCTATTCGTGTATTTATCCAAATGTCTTTCAAACGTTGTAACTGAACCTGCATCCACCACTTCCTCTGGCAGTTCATTCCACACACAAACCCACCCTCTGTGTAAAAAAATAAAAAGTTGCCCCTCATGTCCTTTTTAGATCTTTCTCCTCTCACCTTAAAAATACACCTCCTAATTTTGAACTCACCCACCTTAGGGAAATGACCTTTGCTATTGACCTTAGTTATGGCCTTCATGATTTTATAAACCTTTATGAGGTCGCCTCTCAATCTCCTATGCTCCAGTGAGAAAAGTCCCAGCCTTTCCAGCCTCTCTTTATAACTCAAACCCTCAATTCCCAGCAACATCCTGGTAAATCTCTTCTGAACCCTCTCCAGTTTAATATATCTTTCCTATAACAATGCGACCAGAACAGAGCACAGTACTCCAGAACAGGCCTCACCAATGTCCTGTACAACCTCAACATGACGTCCCAACTCCCATATTCAAAGGTCTGAGCAATGATGGATAACGTGCTAAACTGTTGAAAGAAGTCTCTGCAGACATTGTGGGATTAGTGGTGGCCATCCTCCAAAATTCTATAGATCTGGAACGGTCCCAGGAACTGGAAGTACGAAATAGAGTCAGAGAGCCATACAGCACGGAAACAGACCCTTCGGCCCAACTAGTCCATGCCGAACATAATTCCAAACTAAACTAGTCTCACCTGCCTGCTCCTGGCCCATATCCCTCCAAACCTTTCTTATTCACGTACTTATCCAAATGTCTTTTAAGCGTTGTAATTGTACCCGTAACCACCACATCCTCAGGAAGTTCATTCCACCCCGTGTAAATATTTTGCTTCTTACGTCTTTTTTTAAATGTTTCTCTTTTCCTCTAAAAATGTGCCCCCAAATCTTGAAATCTCCCATGCTAGGAAAAAGACAACTGCCATTAACTCTACCTATATTTCTCATTATTTTATAAACTTGTAACTCCACTATTTAAGAAAGGAGGAAAAGAGAGCACTGGATTTTCTGAAGAAGGGTCTAGGCCCGAAATGTCAGCCTTCCTGCTCCTCTGATGCTGCTTGGCCTGCTGTGTTCATCCAGCTCTACACCTTGTTGTCACAGGAAATGACAGCCCTGTTAGCCTAACATTAGCCACTGGAAAAATGCTAGAACCTATAATTAAAGGTGCGATAATAGGACACCGAGAAAATAATGGTAGGATTGGCAGGGTGAACATGGATTTATGAAAAGGAAGTCATGTTTGACAAAACCGGGTTGGAGTTTTCTGAGGACGTAACAGGCAGAATAGATAAGGGAAATTGGTGACAGTGGAATACTTGGATTTTCAGATGGATTTGAGTAAGGTCCCACGCAAGCCATTATGTAAACAAATGAAAGTACATGGGATTAGGGGGACACATTGGCATGGACTGAGATCTGATTAACGAACAGAAAATAGAAATAGTTCTTTTCAGGTTGGCCGCCTGTAACTAGTGGGGTACCACAAGGATCGTTGCTTGAGCCCCAGCTGCTCACAATCGGTATCAATTATTTGGAGGTGGGGATTAAATATTTCCAAGTCTGTAGGTGACACAAAGTTAGGTAAAATGTGAGTTTTAAGAAGGACACAAAGATGTTTCTAGGGGATTTGAAGAGGCTGAGTGAGTGGGCAAAAATCTGGCAGATGGAATACAACAGGAAGAAATGTGAAATCATCTAATTTGTTTGGTAAAACAGAAGTACAAAGTATTTATTAAACAGTGAGACACTGCAAACTGTGGAACCTTAAAGGGAGTAGGTTGCCCTTGCTCCTGAGCCTTCGAAAGTTAACTTGCAATTACATTGGCTAATGGTATGTTGCGTTTATTACAAGGGGATTGGATTACAGGAGTGTAGATGTCTTACTGCAATTATGTACAGCCTTGGTGAGACCACACCTGGAGTATTGGGAGCAGTTTTGATCACTTTGCCCAAGGAAAGATATATTTGCCATACAGGGAGTGCAACAGACATTCACCAGACTAATTCTTGGGATGGAGGGATTGCGCTGTTAGAAAAGATTGAATAGTTTGGGTCTATATTCACTCAAGTTCAGAAAAACGTGAGGTGATCTACGGAAAGTTCTTACAGGGCTCAACCAGGTGAATGCAGGATTTCTTAAAAAGAAAACGTCCCCTTTTGTACCCGGTCGTGGGTCTGAAAGTTTACTTCTGCCATGTTGTTGCCTGAGGCTGAAAGACAAAGTTTTGATTAACAAGGGATTTGAGAGACATGAGGGCATAGGCAGGAGGAGAGTCAAGATTACGGTCGTGTTGAATGGTGGAGCAGGCCTGAGGGCCCAAATGGCCTACTGCAGTTCTTATGATCTCAGCTCATCCTAATCTGGCCAATGACTAATTCTGCCAACAGACATCTTGTTGACCCGTTCTTTGTCGCTCTGATTTTGGGAAGCCACTGGGATCTCCGAGGTGACGACTAGGAGGCCATAGGAATGCACAGTACTGTAGGTAAAGGACACTCTGTGGCCGCCGGGTACCCTGAGCCCATTCCTCCCCCCACCACACTGAAGCTCGTCACTGTGATTTAACACCGTTCGCTGACTCCAGCACAGGTTTCTTTCAAACAGGCTTTATTGTTAGAGAGAGAACCGATTGACTGACTGTCTCACTCTACCTTTCGTTTTCTGAACAGTTGGTGGCCAGCTCCGTCCTGGGGCTGCTCGCGCTGTTGCGTTCGTGGTTGAGTTGGCAGCTGACTGTGTCTGGGGGCTCCTCGCAAGAGGTGTGCCTCACAGCACACACCTCTTCCCTGTGGGAACAGAAGCTCCCAGTCATCAAGGGCAGCAGGAAACACTCTATCTCTCTCTCACAAACTAAGAGGGGTCTGGAGATTTTTTTTACACAGGGAAATCACTTGCAGCCTAACCCCGAAGTGTCCCTTGAACTCAGTGGCTTGCTCAGCCAGAAGGCAACCATGTTTGCCATGGGTCTGGAATCATGTGTAGTCCAGACGTGCTCAGTACAACTGATTTCCTACCTTCAAAGGACATTAGTGAACAAGATGGGTTACAGAGTCAGAGATGTACAGCACGGAAACAGGCCGCTCGCTCCAACTCGTCCATGCCCACCCAGAGGTCCTAAATCAATCTTGTTATTACAACAGTTGTCATAGCCAACGTTGTAGAGGGCAGCTTTATATTTACTGAATTTAATTCCAATAACTGCTGTTATTGGGGTTTGAATCTGTCTCCACAAGTCAAAAATCTGAGCCTCTGACAACACCGCCACACCATCACTTCCCTTGTTCCCTGAGCTAGAAAGACCGAGGTGTCTGGCTAAAGAAACAACGATGACATGTGGGGAAACTTTCCAACAGTGAGTGGTTCGGATCTGGAACTGCCTGAGAATGGGGTGCAGGCAGATTTAACCAAGTCTTTAGCAGGGAATCCGTTTATTATCTGGAAAGGAAGGATGTGCAGATTGGGGGAGTGGGGAAGGGAATGTCACTAGGCGTCAAGAGCCGGCGCAGACACAGTGGGCTGAGTGGATTCTTTCTGTTGTGTGACTTGTGTTTCATTCTTGCACAGTTGCAGGGTGGTGGCTGAGGGCTTGTCTGTGCGAGGCCTGCGGCAGCAGCCCCCATACACAGCGGGGAGAGCCCAGGTTGTCACGTCGGCCTGTGCCCCTTCAAGTGAGTCCTGGGAGGGGGGGGCGGCGGAGAGAGAATCAGCCCAGGGGCTTCCTGATCCCGCTCGTCGCCAGGTGGAAACCCCCTTGCTGGAAAGTGGTGCATCGGGGAAGGGTGTTGGGGGAAAGTGCAACGCACCTTGTAGTGCAGCAAAAACTGCCAAAACTGCAAAGGGGCCCATATGGCAGAGGAGTTGGGGGGGTGTGGGGGGAGAGAGAGAGGGATGGGAGGGAAGGAAATGAGGAAGAGCGAGGGTTGGGGGTCCAACACAAAACTTGGCAGCTTCAGTGTCACTCACCAGTCAGTGGGCTCGGCCTCAAGGTCAATGAGCTGAGCCTCACTCCCACAGCCCGTCTCGCTGAGCTCACACATCGCCTCCTCGTCCAGATGCATCTTCTGCAGAACCTTGGAGAAGAGGTGACCGATAGTCCTGCGTACGTTGCTCTGGGTTGTTGTGGGAGTGGGGAGGAAGAGAACACAATTGTTGGGGGCAATTCCTCTTTCTTTTCGAAAACCAGATTTTTTTTTTTTTTACAAAGAAATTAATTTATGGGGGATGTGAGTATTGCTAAATGTGCCCAGCAGTTATTGCCCACCCCGAGTTTCCTTGAGAAGATGATGGCGAGCTGCTGCAGGCCAATAGACCTACAATGCTCAGACTCATAGCCCAAGTCAGAAAATACAAACTATGGATTTACATACTGAAAACAGAAAAAAAAATGCTGGAAATCACA